TTAGAAACAGATTGTGTCAAGAGATCTATAATTATCGAGGAAATACGCATTGGATGAATCATGATAATTTGCAAAAGCTAGAAATCTCGCGATCGAATGCGTCGGGGCCGCTAATTGAAGAGCTTCAACTCTTCCACTTATTTTCCCGTTTAACGGACCGTTAACTCTTAAAGATAACATTTGCATAAAAATGATTTTTTTATTCTACTCGTCACGACTATCTTGTGAACAACGTATCATTATTAACTGCGATTAACTCTTTGACGTTCAAGGAACCCTGTACACTTCACGTAATTCGGACGAGTCATATTCCGATAACGGAAACTTCATGTTCGCGTTAATTCGTGTTTCTCTTCTCGACATGCGCTAAGAAGAAATCTCTCCCCTTTAAGGAAGGAATAAGCTTGATCCGGCTTTTCCAACAAACTACAAGTGACTTTGACCTCTCGCGTGGGTCGGAAGAAAGAGTCTGAAAGACGCAACTATAGTGAAAACGAAACTAAAACTCGGAACAAATATCGAATTCAAAAAATATGACAAAAAATAATCAAAAATAAAAATGCTCTTTTTTTTTATTAAAATGAGCATAATTAAAAATTACGGTGTATGTTACGGTATATACGGTATATATTTAAAAAAAAATTTGATAACGTAATTTAAAAAAAATAATACGATATAAAAAATGATTTGAATTTTAAATTAAAGTTTTAAAATTAAATACAAGTCACTTATATATTATAAAAGAGACGCCTTGATACTTAATATTAGAGAATTGCAGTAAATTTACTGGCGCCACTCTAATAGTCTCGAAATTCCTTAATGAATTTGATAACGTAATTTAAAAAAAAATAATACGATATAAAAAATGATTTGAATTTTAAATTAAAGTTTTAAAATTAAATACAAGTCACTTATATACTATAAAAGAGACGCCTTGATACTTAATATTAGAGAATTGCAGTAAATTTACTGGCGCCACTCTAATAGTCTCGAAATTCCTCAATGAAAATAATGCTTTAGTGTTCGTCACGTTCGGTCAAGGTACTTTGTATTCATATTTTTGTTTCTTTAGAGTCAAATACTGTCGGCGCGACACTCTCGACAGGAGACTCCAATTCAGAAAAGCTTCTGGGATCCGATGAATGAAACCGGCCCGTCCATTTTCCTGGGTTATTGCCCCGACCTAGGACCGAAGGGTGGCGCCAGGAATGATTTTCCCATTGAGAAGGGATGTGGGAAAGAGCGCTCTGGACCACCGAGCGTGGCTCGACGAAGGAGAGGAGCGGACACGAGCAACCTGTTGCGTTTACGGTGCCGGAATATATCCGCGTGCCTCTCCTCCGCGTGGCAGCACCCACACGCAACATGTTGCAATCCCCGAACCTACGACTATAAAATATTCGCGCCGACAACTGACTGTACTCGAGGCTACGCGCTCGAAAGAGCCGCCTCGACACTCGCACGTAGGTGTAGGTGGACAATTTATCGTCGCGGGAAGCGAAAGCTTTGTGCTTGCGCGAATCGGGAATGCGGAGAGAATTGACCCCGTAGTCGGAGAAATTTCGACAATTTTTATGACAAACGATAGATCAACTTATATGTAACATTATAATGATGATGATAGAATATATATAATGACGCAAAAAAACATGTGCATAATAAAAAAAGAGCGAAAGGGTAAAAGATATCTTGTAATCTTCATCGAATTTTAATAAGAAGAATTAATTATTTTAAACACAAACAAATGATGTATATAATAATGATCATGAATAATAAAAATTTTTGGGTCAAACAGAAATTTTGTACAAATATTTCAAATTTTAGCTACGCACACGTCACATTTAATATAAAACAAGAAATTAAATTGTCTTCAAAAATGAAAATACATATTAGAGACTTTAATATGTCAGACTCTCCCGCTTTTAAAGATTAATCACATTCATGGAATTTATAGTACGTTTCAAAAGTCGATGAAGAATAATTTCGAAAGGATAAAACATCGGCAAACAAAGCTTCTCATTCCGCGCTCGAGATTCTTGTGAGACAAGACGGGCGCATTTCGATCGATCGTCGGCCGAAGGCGGCACGGCAGGCAGAGCAAAGAGGAAAAGAGAAGGAAAGAGCGAGAAAGAGAGACCTAGCGCCAAAATAAATCAATAAAATAGCGAACCCGAGTCGGGCATGTAGGTGCATACACGTACAACGTGTATGGCTGTACACGTATGGATATGAGAGGCGAGGTGAAGAGAGAGAGAGAGAGAAATAGAGAGAGAGAGAGAAAGTCATGGCTTGGCGGAACGGCCGGGGAGAGAGAGGAGAGCCGAAGCAGGCGAACGAGCGAGCGAGGTCGAGACACGCGGCAGCTGTCTGGCGCCAGGGGTCCCCCTGTTCCCTCAAACAGTCGCGCCGAATGCCACCCACCTTAGCCGACCGACCTATCGTGCCATTCTCAAACCTGCCTGCTTCCCGGGAGCCCGTCCGGCTCTCTTTCTCTCTCTCTTTCCTTCCCGCACGCATTAACTCGCGTTCCTGCGACCCTCTTCCATTCGTCCTGCTGCGGATGCAGCTTGCGTCCGACGACGCGTGCACATTTGACGGACTTTGTTGCCGCAGATTCGTATTCGTCGCCCTTGTTTGATGAAGTTTTTTCACTCTTCGAATTAATTATTTAATAATAATCGAACCCCATTAAGTTAGTCGAATATCGAAATTCATATTTTTTCATAATTTTTAAATAAATTATTATCGAGGTATTTTATCGCGTTGAATCGAAGGAGCTTTGAAGAGATTTAATTAGCGGCGATAATTGGAAAACGTTTGATTGAATTTTGATATTTCTAATTTAAGTGATATTTATTCTGTTCTCTCCCGGAAGCAGTGTTCTATCTATAACTGACTCGAATAAAAAGACTGTGCGCGTGTTTATGATTCCGTGCCATCCTCTCCGGCGCGCTCTAAACTTCACGTATCACGTATATTATATATTGATTGCGTGCAATGTATGAGATATTCACTGAGGAAAATGCAATCGTCAAAACGATTCTCGTTCTTCCTGGCAAACGGAGCTGTCAAGAAGATAGATCGAATGTGCATCTGTGCAATGTCATTTTTAAATTCCAGGAATTACAAGTTTGAATGAAAAACGCCCAAAAAATTTCTATTACAGATGGGACGTGCCTACTCACATATTTTATTGTAACAATCTGTGTGTGTGCGATGTATCATTGATTTCTTTAATTTAATGATCAGCTTTACACATATATACATGTATAATTTTAATATTAATTGACTTTTGAAAAATTAAATTATGAATCGATATATTATAAATTAAAAAACTTATAAAAATATATCAAAATATATATATATATATATATATATATCAAAATTAAAAGTGTAATTTTTTGAAAAGAGTTTACTTTTGATTAAAACGTAATTCAAGCATCAAAACTCCAAGAGTCCAAGAGAGGGATTTGCTTAAAAGTGACATTTAATAGCTCATACTGTTATAGTATAGCGGAGATGTCTTTTCAATTTATGATCGTTGTGGTAAATTGCACTTTACGTGACCACTCCCGGATTAAATGCGCAAACGACGCAAACGTCGTCTGTTATTCAGTCTAAGATCGGCGAGAAGCGCCGAGAAGAGACGCAATTTGCTGCCGACTTGGAAATGTCTGACGTTGTCAGAGTAGTAATGACTTTTGCATTGGTAAAGGCAGATAGATAGTAAAAGTAAAGGCCTCGACGCGCAGAAGAAAACTCATCGCGAGTATTATAATTCAATTTACTTTCTTTTTTTTAATACAATCTCACGATCGATTGATCGATGAACTAACGCTTTTCTCCGGATAAATTAATTAACATTTCTACAGAAACCATGTTTTTTTTTGTAAAGTGTTGTCGAAATTTCCAACGAAAATATTTGTTGTGAAGAACAGATAATTATAACTTAAAAAATAGTATAATTAATTATTTAATTATAATATATTTTTTAAATTATAATATATTATAATATATTTTAATTATAATATATTTTTTCGAATTTTTTGCTTCCTAGAAGATCTTATTGTACTATTATTTATTATTATTTGAATTAATATTATTTCAGATTTTGTAAAGGAATTTACGAAAAATTATTGAGCGAAATTGAGAAGAAATGGGAGTAATCATCGCGATGAGGGAACAGAGCGCGCTCACTTTCCTCTTTCTGGTCGGGGCCAAAAGCGTTTCAGGCGTTCCACGAAGCAGCAACGCGAGCGAGAGCAGCTCGAGAGCAACCCGAAAAACGACGAGTCCGCGATCCGTGCGGTGCGTCATGCGTGAAAACCTACGCGCGCGTCAGCCTCGTGGAACGTGCGTGCTGAGGAAATTTCTTCGGCGACCGCCGACCGACACGATAATGCATCACTCTGCCCTTTCGAGAAAATCTCGCGTGACTTTGATGGGTATCGCCGTCGCGGGCCATGATGAGTAAATAATTATCACGAGACGCATGACAGAGTATGTGAGACATCAAAAAGAATGTGTCAGAATTATGATTTTTATAAAGAGGACGCGATTAAAAAAAAAAACATTTTGAAATTGAAGATAATTTACTAAATTCCTCTCTGAATTCGTGCATGTATATAAAAGTTATATCTGAATCAAGAATCTAGAATCGCGATTCTTCTCAAAATTTAAAAAAGAAAAAATCGTTTGGAAAAATTAAGATTCTTTTTTTCCAAACAGGGAATAAGAAATTGATTCTGGCACAGTCGGAAGCATCTCGTTAGGCTTAACGATAATATCGAGAATAAAAAAAAAGTCGTACCTGAAGCGAAGAGAAAAGGTATCTTCCCGTGAGAGAGAGGATTATTTTAATTTCTCAAAATTTCATGGTTGAAACCTGCGATTCGACAATTCGCTACCGTTATAACGACTCAACGGGACACCCTGTATATATCTCTCGCCGCAGGGTCGATTCACATATGGAGTACGTATAACCTTGAGGACATAGTTACCTTCTCCGTTGGTGGTAAGCGAGCCGGGAAGTGGCAGGGGCGTGCTGTTTTTGCACCGACGTTGATCCCCTTCGCTGGGCGCGCGATCTGAAAATAAACGGACAACCCTTTTGAGAAGCTGCTTTCCTCAAGATTATTTCTTCTTCTTTCTCTCTCGACTTCTTTTCTCCCTTCCCTCGTACTTTTTTTTTCACTCTCGCGTATATATCACGTATTTTCTCGAATAGAGAAAATTATACGGACACGTATCTAATCGTTAATAATCGCTGCGCTTAAAAGAAAGAAAAAGAAATAAAAAACCATGTATCTTGGAATCGTAGCGATACGAGAGCGTAATTATGTAACGTAATGCATCGTCATTAAATGTCGTAGTTTATTATCGCAAGAAGATCGGACGATGAGGTCGATTTTCGTCCGGAACGAGTGAAAAAAAATCTCACGACGTGCATAGCATAAAAGACTTATTATAGGAAACACACAGAAAAAGGACATTCTTGTTTTGAAAATATCATCGAAATCTTGAAGTGAGATATTGCGTTAATTAAAAAAAAATATAATTGTTTGAATAATTGCTTGCTTGAATGAAGCTATTTTATATTTCAATCTTATGATTTAAGATTTAATTTTCTTGAATGGAAAGGAAAAGTGTTAGATAGAAAATAACATTTTTAAATCAAAAATTATAATTCTCTTAAAGTAGAATTAAATAATTATATTAAATAATTCTATTTCTGAGATGACACAATATTAAAATAAGACTATAATATTGTTAAAATTTAAAATTATTAAATTCTTTTAAGAAGATTATTGCATATATACAAAACAATGAACGTGTTAATTTAAGTATATAAGTTTTGATTTGATATTTATTTTTTTTCTGTGCAGCGAGATTCACATAATTTCAAACACATATGATCTATTGTTTCTCTCGTGCATATAATTATCGATGTGATGTCGTTCGACGAAATAAATTCAATTCTTTCGATGGAAACGCGCACAATTTCTTTGAAATGTATCGTGTCAACAGTAAAACGATTCGTCACTATACCTTATGGAAGACAGATAGAAGAGCGAATCAAGTAGCAAATAAGAGTCTCGATTTTTTTCTGAAGCGAATAATTATATTTACACATAAAAAGACTAAAAAAGACTAATTGCACTTTGCTACTTAATTTAAATTCTGGTAGCTATTAAAGCAGCGCGCTGGCTATTTGCAAGAATTCACAATAGGTTGCGAAGCGTGGATAATTAAGCTCAGCAATTTCCGCCAGCCAGAAAAGACAGAAACGGCCAAGGTAATCGCCAGACGCGTGATTCATAACCCCGAGGAAATTCGTGCGTCTCTGTCTTTCTCTCGTAATGTTCACAAAGGTGATGATAGAATCGTCCAAAATAATGATTCGCTCGTGACGAATAGTTTATTCGTCCGCCCGGTGGCAAAGATCCTATATAAACAACAAAACGTCGGTTAATTCTCAACAAGACAATGATAATCTGTCCGTTTTCCTCGTAAATGGCCCGACAAAAACGTCCAACTTTGATATTTCCCGAGATATTTTTTTTTACAGCCTGTCAACTCATTTATCTTTGAGAGAATTTATAATTTTATTAATTACAATTTTATAAGTATTAAATTTATTTGATTAAAAAATTATAATTATGAAAATTAACTTTTAGTCTGACATAATGAAAGCCAGATTTAGCAAGACAAACGTAAAAATTAGTAACGAAAAATAAGATATTTTAGTATAAAATATTTCCTTGAATAACATTTTGTACAAATTACTAATTACAGAGATTACATTGTAAAAGACTTTAGGTCCGACGAGTTTTTTAAGGATCAGTGGCATGCTAATAGGTTTAGGGATAGACTATGGAAGATCGGGTCCATTCACTAAAAGAGAGGATGATGTCAGAAGAACAAGTTGGACGAGAGAACGGTCGCATTCCTTTTAGATTCCAGAGGATCGTTCCTGCAGGAGAAACATTTCCTGCCATATCGTACTCGAGAACATTAAAGAAAGCGAGAAGGACGGATATGAAGAAGAGGGGCTTCTTCTTTTCAAGGACTTAGACGACAGTCGTCATCTATTTTTAGGATACAATTATTAAAAAATCCACCGGCTTCGCTCCCGTCGTCGTCGAGCGAATTTACAGGAGATTCTTCTTCTCCGTCTTTCGTCGAATCCTCGTCCTGTTTCCCACGCGAGAGACTTTTTCAGTTGTTACATAAATAGAAACTGAAACTTGCCTGACATTTTCTTTCTCTCTCTCTCTTTTTTTCTCAACCAAATATTCTTTCGTTCAACTAATTAATATAATTCGTTCCGATTGTATTTTAAAATATTCTACAAATAATTCTCTAGATTATCTCCATTAATTTGTTGGATTTCAATTATACGTTTATTGACGTTTCTTGACCGTGATATAAATTTTTACACTTTTCAAATGATTTTTCAGATTCGTGTCGTGCAACGCGATAACAATGAGAATTATCGTGGACAATTATCGATAACATCGATCGTAAATATTTATCCAACTGATATCAAACAAATTGACACGTGGTTTGTTGTATATTCGCCGTCGTTCAATATATAACGACACCGCACCGAGACGAGCGCAAATACAATTTATTTACAAAGTAGCCGGACGGGAGAGCTCGACGCGGGGCGTTTTTGGCACGCGCGTCACTCCACAAAGGGAACGTAAATATAATTCCACGAATTACGCGTGTCACCGTAAGCCGTTAAGTGCCGCGCGAATCTACGAGATAGTGTCACCGCCGAGTTTGCAAAAATATATAGCCACGCGGAAGATTCAGCTCGCGGCGCCACCGCTCATCCAAGGTGAGCGGATTCGTCAATTATTGGGCTTTGGCTTGGGAATCGAGCCACAAGAAGGAAAGAGGAAAGAGAAAGAGAAACAGAGAAAGACTATCTCTCCCCACGAGATCGTGATTGCACTAAGAGTATTTGTATACCGGTACAAGTTTACTCGAATCATAAAGCGATACATCAAAAAGCGCCTGAAAGTTATTTTTACAAAAATATATAAAACTCTACTTTTTTCAATCTTTAAATAATTTTCTAACGTCGAAATGATTAAATTATTAATTATTAAATTATTAATTATGAAATTCTTAAATTATTAATTATTAAAGTCTTAAATTTTATAACGAGATAACTCCGACTTACATAATGTCGCCCGAATAATGTACTCCGTTTTGTATAGCTCGCAAACGTCATCGCAAGGCGGATCGCAGTAAAGTCGAGTACGTATCGTGACATTGAAAGTCGATCGACGTGATGCTGGCCACGGCGCACTCGCCGAGTGCGATTCACCGAGCGAGCAGAGCAAGCTGCATCGAATTAGGATCTCGCCGGCGGATCTTCAAAAGCAGCATCTCGTCGGGCTCCCCCGATCCGGAAATCGGCGTGTCTTGCCGCTCTCTCGGTGCTCTCGGTCCGGTCCGCAAACGCTGCCGGCGCGATCGGCGAAGGAGGCACCGGAATGCGAGAGAGCCACTCCCGCTGATCGCCAGCGGACTCGAGGAGATGAGGGGAGAGCAGAAGAGATGAGAGAGAGAGAAAAAGGTTTCGTTATACGGAATATGCAGCTTCTACCTGCAACGCAGACTATCGATAACAGATTTCTTAACGATTTTTTGCGGTTGACCTCGAATTCGATTTTTGATAAATTGCAAAAATTCCTTGTTTCAACTTTTGCTATTTGATATTTCAAATTTCTACATGAACAAGATAGTGAGTTTGTTTAGGTATCTGTCATTGACAGAGGATGAAAGTTGGATAATATAATTTTTTAAGAAGGAGGAAAGATTAAATAAAAAAAAAACGGGATAAATGAAGAGGAGCAGAAAAAAATGCTGAACAGTCGATAGAGGAGAGGCAGAGATCGCGGTGCTTGAGTTTGCTCTTTCAAGCAAAGTGAATAAGACGAGAGACGAGAAAGAGAGAGAGATCGGACAAATAGACGAGAAGTAAGAGACAGAGAAAGAGGGACGAGGAGATAGAAGGAGAAGGATGAAAGGAAGGAGAGAAGGGATATATTCAAGGACGCCGGCCAAGCGACAGGCGCCCACCGCTTGCTTGGGCCTCGGGTTCCACGTCAGCCCCACCCTTTGGCCGGCGCCAAGGGGCCCTTTACGTGCCCTTAACCTTTCGCCGATTAGCGCGGTATCAGCGAATTGTCGCGTTCCTTCAAGGCTACCGATAATAATCATCTCGAATAATCGACGTTTCCATCAACGCGAAACGCAAACTTATACTCGTGGAAAATATTTGGAATATCATTTTAATCTCTCGATCTCTCCCGACGTATTTTTCCCTCTCGTAATGACTCGTTCCTGGTAAAATGACAAAAGCAGCCCATTTTCAAACCGGTTATATTGATACACGCACACACTGTCGCCTCGAACATTCTTTCGAGGCAGGTGGACCGTTAGCGAGTGCGCTTAGCTCAACTTTCTATATCTTTTCGCGCAATTTTTTCCCCCGCAAACGAATATTACTACGTGTTATTTTCGTCGAGTCCGAAGGACGCAGCATCCGAGGCGCACGAAGCAATCTACTGCGGCAGAAATCAGATCTAATCTGGGAAACGAATCTCGCGGAGAGAGCAGAATTAAAAACATAAATATAGCGTAATATGTCGCGCAATGCGCTACGCTGTTTGTCCTCGTACCGCGCGTTTGAAAGGGACTGCGCAGTTGTGTCCTTCGTCGTATTCGTTGAAATTTGCGCAACCGACACGAAGCGAGTAGCACGTGCGGAAATCAAGCGGCTTCGTCATAAAGATCGCTCTTAATAACGAGATGCATATTTCCAGTATTTATGTTAATGTCGCGACGCAAAAAGTGCACGATATCATGAATGAAATGTACAAAGTCATAAATAAAAAAATAAATAATACATAAATAAATAAATAACAGATAAATAAATAAATAAAATAAAATTACTTGTGACATAAAAATTCAAAAAAAAATGTGGACATGATGAGAATCAACTCGATGTTCTTCTCGCCTCAACAGCTTCGTCTCGCAGTCGAATCTCGCGCAAGCAGCAACAAGTGGCGGACTTTTATTCGTCGCACGCGGTGCGGTGGCCCAGTTTCCGCGACGGAGCATAAATTCGCGCGAGCGCCCGAAAGACAGATTTACGACGAGGACAGGAGGCGCGAGTCTTCTTCTCTTCCGAGAAGAAGCCGCTCCTCCGTGTTTCCTCCCACGTCGCCGAGATGAATGTACGTTTTACGCGTCGCGCGTTTTCGATCCTATCGTATCGGTGCATACACGCGTAAAATAGAACTGACGTTATTAAGTCAGGAGTTATTTACGATTGAAAGGCAGAATGCAGCGTTAAGCGCGAATTTCGTAGAGATACTAGAGATTTCGCGAGTCGGAAAGATCGACGACGATGCGATTAGGAATTTATTAGAAATAAAAGAAATTAAGAAAAAATTATTTAGGCGCAAAAAATGCATCGACCCCGATCGAGGGGACAATGTAGGCGGCCGACAACGGATTCGTATTTATAACGCACCCTGCGGATTTAATAATACCTTCAAGAACACATTGGACCTTTGGCAGGATCTTCCTTTATATAAATGCGAGCGGCTCGCGGTACGTGTGCTATGACACATACCATCGGTCCTTTCTATCAACACGAGATATTGACCTCAGGCGATACACACTATGCGTCCAGCAATATTTCTTTACTATATAAGAGTGCGTCCACTATAATCTTATAAGCACGGACGCACACATACGTAACGTCACCGCAAATACGCGGTTCTCCCAGCTGCAAGCGCTATTATTTCATCATATCGTAAGCTTAGCGCACAATGTACCAGCAGATACAGTAAAAAATCAAATGTCAATTATGACATTTTTCACATGTCTCAGAAAGTCCACTCTATTTTAAGTTAAAATAACTTCTCATTCGTCGTATGTTACTTAATGACAAACTAAAAATGTTAAATAATTGACACAATACTTGACATTTATTTTTGTTAGTGTGACTTTAAGTGTAATGTAAAAATAATATACAAATTAATTAAAAATTACATGAAAAAATAGTTGCAACAACTCGTAAGAATTGCTGTAGGACATTAACATATAATAGTAATTATTTTAACTTAAATTATTTGTAATAGAAACACTTGATTTTCGTAAATTTGATTATTTTGTATGTCAAAGTTCAAGATTATTTCAAGATTCACTTCAATTTTTCTTAGAATATTAAACTGAGACATGTTGATTGTTTAAAATGATTATGTTAAAAATACTCAAAATAATATTCCATTTCTAAGAGACATATACAAAGTATTGAGTTATAAAATTGACATAAATGTAACATTTTTATAACATAAAAACGTTATAAAAATAATAACATATGTTAATTTTACATTGAAGTGCTAATTAAAATGCGTGGATAACACAAGAAAATTTTAACATGTGAACGCACAATTTTTTACTGTGTATAAAGATGATTGATTTTTTCACGATATTTTTAACTCAGGTAAATCTAAATAATAAATTTATCATTATATCGACATCGCGGTATTTAGCTTCGATATTTGTAAAATAATATTTATAATAGTTGCGACACAGCCTAACAACAGTGTAGATTGCTTTACCTGATTACACGCTTGGCACACTATTAAAGAAGATACCGATGAATGAAGAGAAGGTTCGACACGTCCATTATATTCGCATATAATTGCGCAACCAGATCTCGCAAGAGGTTTCTCGGCGAACGAAAGGCGGCTAAAGGCGAATCTATCGATGACTACGCAGTCGATTCGCGTGTTGTGTACTCGCACACTCGTATCGATCTCGAGAGAACCAGTTTAGGACCGAGAACGGAAGAGAAAAAGAAAGAAACGCATATACAGGAGGCGATAGTCAAAATCAGACGAAGGGACGCGAGCAGGAAACGAGAAGAGGATTTAACAGTTTCAATTTTTTTTGCGATTTACAATTTCCTTGTTTATCTATTTAATTTCATGATACATGCGACGTTTTATAGTTCTTTATTATATATGTATATTTATATTTGAATTTATTTGAAAATGTATAATTTTAAGGAAAAATCCAACACAAATAATTTTACGTAGAGCTTTTATCGAAATATTTTTATAAATTTCGTATTAATTAAAAAACCAAAATAAATTGCATTTTTATAGTTACAATCTGACTTTTAATTGAAAATTGAAACTAAAGATAAATATCGTTGCTAATGTTGATATTTTGCATTCTCGCGGTACAGCGAGATTGATCAGCTTCCACCTGGTGGTCCAATATTGGCCAGAGGATACATTGATCAACCGCTGAAATGGTGATATCATGAAACCTATCGGCATATTGCGATCAAGAAGATCGACTTACACAGCATGTAGTTACAATTATCAAGAACTATGAAAGAGCAAATACACGCATTTCGATTTTTTAATTAATTGTCTAAGCTTGTTTATTTTCTAATATTCATTTTATTGAATTTTAAAATTTTTGTATTTTAAAGAAGAATAATTTTTCTTGGAAAGTTTTATCAAAACTATATTATATTAATTTTATATTTGCAAAGTAATATTATGTTACGGTAAACTGAGAATCCTGCACACATGTATAATTAAAATGCTCGTACAAAAAAACGCATCTCTTCGAATGTTATATAACGTTTATTTTTGTTCGGTTCCGTCTAATAAAATCGTCAGTTTTATTCGCGACAAAATAATCTGTTTATTTCCTAAAAATTTGTGATATTGCCATGAAAAGTGCAAAAAAATTCTGTGTCGTATTATTAAAAAATATCAATATATTTATACCACCGTATAGATCAGATAGTATCCATTTTTTCGCCTCTGCTCGATGTCGAAGAAAAAAATATCGATATCTTTATTAATCTCATCCACGCGTGACAAATGTCAATTAGTATAATAATAGCACGCTGATCAAACCCAATGAATTGTAATCCTGTTCAAAAGTTAATCCGCTTTATATCGGAGAGCTAAGTGAAGAAGTGTTACAAAAACGTGACTCGAAGAAAAGTTAAATGTCAAGGTCCCTTTCACGCATCGGAGAGCGCGGATTTCTATAAATTGATACTTTTAAATCACACGTTAAGCATTATCTGTGCGTAATCTTAAGTGCTCGCGGATTAACCGGGGAATTCCGCCATAAACTCCGTGAGATAGAAACGGTGTCGTACTCGTTCCGGATTATCCTTCACCTTGCTTTAGGCTAGGTCGTGAGAAACACGCGCTACGAGACGAATCTCGCTGCTTGTATAGTAAACGTTTGCGAGTAATAAACATGAATTATCGTTAACACGGTTGCGCGAAGACATGCACGCATCATGTACACGTGTATACGTGACCCACACTCACTCGCAGACACATTCCTGATTACGACGTGAAAGACGAAGACACTCACCTTCGGGTCTCAGTCTGTCGGCGATAAGGCAATAGGGGGGTGGCGGCGTTTCTGAAATCAAAAAAAGGAAATTATCATATTGTCGTGCAACTCGAAACTGGATGAATGAAATTACCATTTTCATCAATATCTATTATCTAATCGATAAAATTAAATGTTGCAAAGAATGAGATCTTTTATTTTTTGTCAAATATTTGTATTATTTGAAGTATAATTTTATTTATTTTAATAGATATTTTTATTTATATTTTTTTTATAATTTTATATTATTTACAATTTATATTTTTATTTATAATTTATTTTTTAAATTTATATTATACATTTTTCGAGAGCAATGTAATTATTAAATAGTTTAATTACTATATATCTTTTCAAAGCAATTATATAATATGAAGTAATACGTGAAGAGTATATAAATAACGTCAATGATTTCAATTAATTTCAGTTAAGGATATCGCTTGATACATCCGTATCGATCGCAAAGTCATTGAGAGAGACTCCGGTGATTTTCAATTGAGTCGAATTAATGGCATCAATGCCAAGTGAAGACGCGATGATGCGAAATGTCCCGATGGGCGCCCCGTTAGAAAGAAGTCCAGGTCCAAAAGCGGCAAGTTCTATTATTGGCGCGGAGCGCCTGCGAAACCGGTATGCCGTTTTTCGTCCTTTTATGTATACGCGCTCTCAAAGTATAGAGGACAAATCGCGGTGCGAATATCTCAAACGTCAAGGTAACCCGATGCTTCCCCTGCCTGAAAAAACGGAATACTGCCTTCGATCATAACGCATGCCGATATTCGCACGTATGATAGGTAATTGCATTCTCGAGGAATATCACCACGAATCTCGAAAAAAGCTCAATTTGCCCTTCCTTGAGCGTTAAATTTTTTCAAAGAAATTTTAGAATTTAAGTAAGTTAATAAACTAGGAACTTGTGCACAATAAAAAATATTTTGAAAGAAACTACACAGAAAAAAGGATATTCTTGTTTTGAAAATATATTTAGTTTTAACATGAAAATCTGATTTGAAATGAGATTATATTGCGTTAATTAAAGAAAAATATAATTGCTTAAATAATTGCTTATTCGAATGAAGCTTTTTTATATAATTCAATCAAGAACAATATATTTTTATGATTTAAAATTTAATTTTCTGGAAAAGAAACAATGTTAGATAGAAAATAACATTTTTAAATCAAAGATTATAAATTTTCTTAAAATAGAATTAAATAATTATATATTTTTGAGGTGACAATTACAATATTAAAATAAGACTATAATATTGTTGAAAATTAAAATTATTAAATTCTTTTAAAAAGATTATAAATTGTTGCGTATATACGAAACATGAACACGTAAGTTTAAGTTCATAAGTTTTGATTTGACACTTATTTTTTTTCTATGTAAATATTGTAAAACAAACTGTCTTATAATAAAAGAGAGAATATATTCTGATGAAAGAATTGCATCTTTTTAATAGCCGTGTGAAGTTTATTAAAAAAAAAACTATTTTTGTACAAATTGGTGGTTAACGTGAAATTAAAGTTTTTTTTAATAACTTTTATTACTAGAAAATTTAAAATATATAAATAAGTGTGCAAACGGATATCGATTATGTTGATTGAAAATCATTTTTGAAAAAATTAGAGGGGTTAATGTGAAGTTGGCCTCCTCAAAAGTTTTTTTTGGATACCTTTTTTTACTAGGGGTATGCAAGCGAAAATAAAAAAAGTGCACTTCTGTGCAAATAATGTGTAATCGACTCATGAAAAAAATCAATTATTTTGGGGAATATTGGGGGAGGGGGGATTAACTTTACGTGACTCTTTTTAATCTGATTTAAACTTTGTAATGTATCATAATTTAATTTAAAAATCGGTTCTATCAATTATTTCAGTTTTAAATAAAAATGTTCACGATAAAAATAATATTATATCATTAGAAATTCATATGTCTATGGATTGTAATCAGATGGCATATCGAAAATAACCCGAGTTAATTTTTTTTTAAGTAAGATGCAGAGTTATTAACTAATGATACAGGAGACTTATACGGGAGAAATTATGCCGAAATTCCTAGATAATAAATGTGGTACGATGTCGACGCGTAATGGCCGCCTGTCGTGCCTACACGTGGATCCTCTCCCGCTGCTCGCGTTTCTCACTCGCTCTCTCTCTCTCTTTGCTCTCTTGATCGCCCTCGGTTCAATCCCTCTCCAGAGCCGACTGGCCGCCGCGTCGCCACCGAGCTTTAATAAAGCCGGCGCGGCGTGTGTCACTCATCGACGCACTTCAAACTTGGAGTCGGAGTTTGGCACGATTCGAATAACAAGATCCGCGAGCACGATTTAAACGGCGATGTTTTAGCCCCCGGTTAAGGCACTTGTAATAAACGCGTGGCCGTTACATAACTCGCGCCGCCAAATATCTCTTCGGAACGAGACGCGCCTATTTCTAGGCCTGTCTATTCGTTTGTCGCATCCAGCCGCGGGAAATAAATGATTATTTCATTTATCGAACCGAGGCCACGTATCGACCCCAAAACGGAACAAAATTCGAACAATATCCTATAAAAGAATATTTCCAGGTATCATCTTTCGAGTAAAAAGGCTCGCACGCTATGCAAATAATTTTCCGAAAAAAATACAGGGAGTCCTAGCGCTTTCGGGCATGAATGAATATTCGGAACGTGGCGGAGAAAGTTGTGCGCGCATTTACGCGGTGTAATGATAAAAACCTGCCCCGCGACGATTTGCGTAACGACGATACGCAGCCGTCGCCGCCGCCGTCGTCGTCGTCGCCGTCGCCGGTTGGCCAATGATAATCGATTCGCCGGCGTGAATTATTAACCGGCCGCCCCGGCAATGGCTCGTTCGCGAACGAACGAACGAACGAACGACCGCCGAATGCGAAAACAGATAAAGACGGCGGCGGGCTTGTGTGTGTCGCGGGATTACGAAAACAAGGCGCCACCGCGGGGAGTGATTTACGCCCGATAAAACGCCGCGTTCCGCGATACGAAATTAGCGTACGCTATCGACGATCGCCGCTGACAATGGTCGGTCGCGTCCGGTGTCTGCTTACGAGCCCGAGCTTACCATGTCGCGCGTAAATTGACTCGTCGAGAAAAATAGCGCCTCGTCGCGATTACCGGTCATCGCATATGCGTCATTGCGTATCGAATATGCGCGTTATTTCGAGCGATGTCGACTAAATTACGTATGCGTAATATTGCCGACCGAAATAAATATAGGTTAAAGAAAATACATGCATTAAAGTATACAAAATTTCCGTGGGTTATGTATTTAATTTTTGATGTCAAGTATTTTAAGAATTTGTTTATTTTTCCAAATGCAATATATATAAAATATTAATATTTATATATTGTATTTCGAATAATTTATTTGTGAAATGCGCCAAATATACATGTATATAGTATCGAAGAATTATGAATTGAATATATAGAAATTTATTTACCACGAATACGAATGCAATCCGTATACATGTGGATGCATAAAACATCATTTTAGTGCGCGGCATTTTAGTCTTTGTCTTGACAAAGGAATTCTAATTTAAGTATCTCCGAAATTTATAGCGTAGCAAATTTAAATTCCTAGGAAACCTATTCCCGATCCGCTGAAATGACTCTAAAACATGCGCGTCCTCCTCAGGAAACTGAGAATATAATAACACATTGGTACCAGCCAAAGATTCTTGACACGTCTTTGCTCTGTGTGTGTGTGTCCCCGATTCCGAAATTTCAAAAATTTCAACGATCGAAGGTCAGTATTGCAATGAATGCATTTATTGCTTCTATTATAATTATATAGATTATTATTATATCGATGAAATAATTGTAAAAGATATTCACGATCAAATTTGAAACAATTTTATAACGTTCAAGTACACAGAAAAAAATAAGTGTCAAATCAAAACTTATAATTTTAAATTTCAACAATATTATAATCTTATTTTAATATTGTAGTTGTCACCTCAAGAATATATAATTATTTAATTCTACTTTAAGAAAATTATAATCTTTGATTTAAAAATGTTATTTCCTATCTAACATTGTTTCTTTTCATTCAAGGAAATTAAATTTTAAATAATAAAAATATATTTTTCTCGATTGAACTATATAAAATGGCTTCATTCAAGTAACCAGTTATTCAAGCGATTATATTTTTCTTTAATTAACGCAATATAATCTCATTTCAAGATTCCATTAAAACTAAAGTTTCCATTTCAAGTTTCCATTAAAACTAAATATTTTCAAAATAAGAATGTCCTTTTTTTCTTGAAATAATACTTGCAGTCTTCAATTTTGGCGAATTTATATGATGCAATATTTCTTATCAACTTGCCGAACCTTTTTCATTTTTAAAAATACAAATCTCCAAGTCTATACGATTATTTAATATTCAAGGTAAATTGAATTTAAGATTAAGAGGACAGATAACAAGTCCTCTTATCAACTTTCCAGCGAATCTAAGACGAATTAAACTTGAAATACTCGACATCATTTCTCCGGGATCTATTATCCTAAAAAATACTAAGCACAGACTCGCGCGAGGGAGGATCAGAGAAAAATGCCGGCGAAATTTCCGCCGATACGGGAGTCTCGGTGCGATTCTCCGGCCGAATCGAAGCGCCAGGAGTTACCGGCTTTGCTCGGCCGCCTGGCTGCTCTCGCGAGGCTCGTCTCAGTTCGGTCAGCTTCTCGGCTAATGCCGGCTGGCCTCGACAATTAGCTGGCGCCAGCAATGACACGCAGCGGCGCCGGGCTGCAGCCCCCCCTCTCTCCGCGTTCCATCCCGTACCCCTCCCTCCCGCGCGATCCCGCGACGGACGACGGTGTCTCCGCGCGCCGATCCCCTCGCCATCGCTGCCCTTCCTCGCTTAACCGCACATGCTCGACGGCGCCCCGTCCTCGGTCCGCCATCCGCTCTCCTCTCCGACCGCCTATATCGGTCTTTCTCATTCTCTCTCTTTCCCCCTCGCTCCTTCTGCTTCTCTCCGGTCGACCAACCCTTCTCGCTCTTTCCGTCAGCCGCGACTGACTCGCCCAATATACATTTTATTTTTAGATTCATTTCCTTCTGGCCATAACTTTGATCGTACGGCCATTCGTAAGTGCTTTCTCTCTCTCTCTCTCTCTAGTACGATCCTATACTCGTTCGCCGTCTCTCTTTCTTTCAACACGCGTCGCTCGTCCCGAGTATTTTTTTTCTCCTCCGTTCCCCCTTTCTCCGAGCTCGGTCGGGGTGTCTGACGCGTCTATCTCGTCGTTTTGCGCTCGCTTTCTCTCGCTTCTCTTTCCCCAAATGCGTCGGCTTCCTCGGGCGTGCATACGTGGCGCGACCGCGCTATTATTAGTCGTGGAAACCTCAGCACGGAATTCGAAGGATCCGCTTGTTCGCCCTCCCCCTCCCACCCCTCTCCGGCGTCGCGCGCTGTTAATTACGAAACATACGCGATTTTATCTCGCATCGTCGCGATCCTTTTTCTCGCGGAGGTGTCGCGCCTGCTCGATACGATTTTCCAGCAATAAAACGCTCGATATTATCAATAAATCGTGCACGCGGCGCGCTCGACTGTAACGAATCGATGCTGTCACGATTAGACCACCGGCGCCGGTGAGCATTCGCATGAATGATCGCGTAGAAAGTCGCATTTTTTCTCAACAATCGGATGTCGTCTTTAAACCTCTCAAAGTCGACGTATAAGTCGTGTCTTTTAAATTAGCACACTTTTTAAATCAACGTCTCTCTCCAAGAGACGCGTGTACGTCTAAGATACGTGTCTCTTGGAGAGAAAGTTATCTCTTGGAAGGATATTTCCTCGGGATACGTGACAGCCGTAAAACACCGTGGTTCGCACGATCGAATTCGCTCGGCTCGGGCCTCGCGACGACGACCGGGTTAAATGATCGACGGGGTTACGTAAAGGCGCGTTTTGCTGGCGCCTACCCCGCCCGCTCCCTCCCACTTTATTAGGGCGCGACGCTTTTTTGCGATCGAAGTCACGTCACCGGACGCGCAGACAACAGGACGAGGTCTCGGGGCCCATAAATTCCACCGCTTTCTTTAAACTGACGAATGCCGATGGTGTAAAGTCATGCGTCACGGTATAATTGACGCACGAAGAGATATCGTTTCGAAAAGTCTCCGAAAAGACTCTACCGACGTTGAAATAAATTTCAACGCGCGTATCTCGTTACAAGATACATTTTAAAATGTGCAACTAGATGCATAATGTAAAGTTAACGTTTATATTTGCAATGCTCATTCATTGCAAATATAAACATTAATTAAGATTCGACAGATACGTCGATACGCTTGAAAAGTTTATTCATTAGTTCTAATTCTCGCACCGTTAACGTCACATTGCTGGAAATAAGTTTCTTCCTTTTTTAAATACATCCGATTATATCTTAATATCTTGAAAATATTCTTCGATTGAATGATGCAATTTGAATTCTGCGGAAGAATAAGTCACAATAAATAATTCGTAAAATAAATAAATATCAGCTGGTGGCCACTTTTGAGAATTATGTCAAACGATTATGTACCTGCTTGAGTCTAAAAGTCACAAAAGCGCACTTGAAAACCCGAAAGGAACCTGTCGTCGGCTTTTGAAAGTTTATACCTGCCATAATATATCTTTAGCACTTGTGTGAAGCGAGAGACGACCACCGCATCGAATATGTTTCAACCTCACCTACCTTCCATTAATATGAATTAAATCACGCTTCCGTAATCATATCGATTATTATTATAGGCGTCATTTATATATCATAAAAATTAATTTATTTTTCACGCCAATAACAGATGTTTACACTTGTCATTCGCCTATTCGGCTCTCTCGATGAGAAAGCGTCAATGTATTGACATCCGAGGTTTTCTCCCGGGACATTATATATCGGCTTTACCTTCGTTTTAAACGTAACCAGGTAGACATGGCCTAAACCTCGCGGTCATCTGTAATAAATTTCCATTTTACAGCGGTTCGAGTCTTTAGGCTTGTTAGCACCGGGTGGCGCGCACACAGGTGACGATTAGCGCGTTGAGTTTGAGGTCTACGATCGTTACAATGCAGCCAGCTGTGCCTTACGATGTTAAATTATTCCGTCTAGACACCACCAGGAGCGACGGGCTGACGTTTTAAATCGTGTTGTATAGGATTCCCGAAAAACCGTACACCGAGACCCGACTTGATTCTTTACGCATTTTTTAAACATTTCAATTCACGTCTACTCATTCAGCAATTTTGAATGAAATAGTAAAAAGAAATTTTGGGAGGCGTTCTCTCTTACACGATGCTTTCATTAATTTATAGAACGGTTAGTTTGTTTTACGAGCGATTTATTAAATTATTGATTTATTGATTTATTAAATTATTTATTTATTGATTTATTAAATTATTTCTCCGTCTATTAAATTGGACTAAATTTAATTAAACTTTCCATTCCGATAAGATTATATTCAATATAAAATTGATACAATGTCGAGATGGGAGCGCGAATTAACGAGCGTTACGTAACTCGTACCGAGACTTTCGGTCGGGAGTTTATCTCGCGGTGTATATTAATAACAGAAAGCTACGAGAGAAAGAAGGAGAAAAAACAGCTGATCGCTCACCGAGTTTGCAGAGCCGACTCCAGTGATAGGGGTTGCAGCATATGTAGACGGGATCTTTAGCGGAATGACAGATAGGTAGTCTCTTGAGCTCCGACGAGTGCTCGAGATCCGGCCACCGCCAGATCTGGCAGCAGAGGAGATGCGGCTCGCTCGGCGCGCCGCTGCTTCCTCCCTCGGTGGATCCTCTCACTGGCACGACGGCGCCGCTGCCGCCGTTGCTCGCCTTCCCGCCGACGCAGCACCTGTCGAATCTCATCGGCGACGCGGACAACGAGTCCTCGGACGCGGAGCAGCAGCTCTCCTGCTCGTCCTCGACGGAGGACGAGCGGTGGTGCCTGCTGGAGCGGTGCCGATAGCGACGATAGCGATGCTGCTGAAAGTGACGGCCGTGATGACGATGCGGCCTGCTGTGGTACTGCTCGTGTTGCTGATCGTACATGGGATAGTCCTCGACCGGCCGCTGCTGACGCGGAACGAGGACGCACGAGCCGAGATCGGCGCCGGCGCTCTCGACGGCGGCGAGCAGCATCTCCAGTTGGTTCTCCTTGAGCGTCTTGAGGAGCTCCTTGCACCTCAGCAATCGGCCGGGGTCGTGTTGCCGTTGCTGCTGCTGCAGCTGCTGCTCGTCGTCATCCTGGCTCGAGTGGCCGCCGCAGCAGCCCTGGTGCAACCGGCTCGTGTTGCGGCCCTCGTAAACCACCGCGTCACCACCTTCCGCCAACGCTGCCGGCCCGCTCACTTGTCGACCCGCCGTCGTCGTCGCTTTGTCGTCGTTACTGGCCGTGTTGCTGTCGTAGCCGGCGGCGCCGCCGCTCGTGTTGCTGCTGCTCGTGCGATGAAACGTACGTGACGATGAATCCTCTTGAGCTTCACACTCGGTTTCATGCTCCCCACGGACCTTGGCCTTTAGCAGACGTCTAGTGAGCACCGTCCGTTTGCTCCAGAACATCAACATGAAACAGGATTTGCGATACGCGCATTTGGTGGCCAGTCCTTTTCGTAGCCGCCGTAGGAAAATCGAGGGAGGGACGTGACGGGCGGGGGTGACGACCGGGCCACCCGCACGCGGGTCGCTCGGGAACGCGCCGATGTTTCGCCTCGGACACGAGACTCTTGCCGCGAATCTCGCTCCTCGAACGCCCTCCTCCTCCTCCGCGAAATCCTCCTCTCTTCCCACCTTCGACAAACACCAAATTACGCACTGTCAACCCGAAGAAAACACTCTTTCGTGCACCCGCGAGATCACAGACGATACGGAGCAGACGCACACACACGCACCAACACAGTCGCGCAAGCGTGTATATTTATTTATGCGCGTATCTCGCGCGCGATCACGATCCCGAAATAGTGTGACAGTCCAACGCGCGGCACAGAAGAGCTCCGGTCTCTCTCTCTCTCTCTCTCTGTCTCTTTCCCGCAGACTCCCCTCTCGCTTCGCTTCTCTTCTCTTCCGTTCCCTCTCTCTCTTTCCACCGACCGACCGGCTAGTAAAGCAACAGTGCTCGCCGCGTTTCTCTCTCTCTCTCTCTCTCTCTCTCTATCTCTCTTTCTCTCTCGCGTGGATTATTTCCGACTTTCAACGAGAGCCGAAGGAACGAGATCCACCTTCTTCCTCGGATAAGTTTTTTGGCCGCGTAGACGAGCTCGGGTCCAACAGCACCACCGGCTGACCTTGAACTCTCATTTACCTCTCGCTCGTTTTCGGCCGATCTATCGCGATTTAAAGCGCGTCTCGGTTTCCTCTCCTCTTCTCGCCCCGGTGACCGGGGTGGGGGGTGGGGGATAGGGGGGGCTAGGTACCTCGCTCCGCTTACACGTATCCCGTTTATCGTCGACGGACACCTCTCGGGGACAAACAATCCGCACGACGGCCGTGAGCGCGAGCCACTGTCGGCATCGCGGACGCCAGTCGACGTCGTCGTCGTCCGCGCGCGACCGACGACGCAAAACGCACCACGCGCCCGGATCGCGCGTGCACGCACGCGACACACATGCACCAGTCGCGGGGACGCAACTGGTCACCGTCGAGGTTACCGACGGACGCGCGCGCCGCTACTGGGTATATCGTCGTACGCTTCTTATCCCTTACGCGCGCCTCGCCTTCTCTCGCGAGATGGAGAAAGAGAGAGGACGGAGAGAAGGAAGAGACTCCCGGGGAGACGGGAGAAGGGGCGAGGGGGGAGGGGGGCGTGGGGAGGGTAAGCACGAAACGAATCGGTCGGCGCACGCACGACACCCGGCCTTTACTTTCCTCGGTCGTCGCGAATACGTATCGAGGGCGACGCGGTGCCTTAACCTCGCGACCCGGCACAACCGACGCGCACACGTGTACGTATATATATGCGTGTATGTATGTATGCACGGTGTAGGACGTACACCGGCGACGTCGCGTCGCGGAAATGTTACCGCGGCGCCGCCTGAATCCTCTTCAGGAACGGAAACTCGCCGACAGCTGACGCGACGACGTCGTCGATCCCGACGACGGAAGGCGACAACGTCGCTGTTTCTGGAGTCCTCGATCCGGCGCTCGCACCGTCGCCAATGCCGGCACCACCGCGTCGATGGCACCGTGTAAGGACGACGACGGCGACGGCGATGATGACCACGACGACGACGACGACGACGACCGCTGCCACCACCACCACCGCCGCCGCGACGACACTCCAACAACCTCAGACTCGCGATCGTCGCTCCGTCGATCACTCCCCGTCATCCGTGCGCGCGTATCACCGAGTGACATTTTCCGCTCGCATCGTCCGTCCTTGTCTCTCTTCTTCTTTTATCTCCTCGCGTTACGTTTCCACGCGCTCGGCTCTTTCTCTCACCGCGACACGGTGCCGCGATTCTCGACACCCATCGCCACTTTGCCGCCGCTGCTGCTCGACGCTCGTCCGTTCGACCGGTCGCGAGGACGCGCACTGTCACATTCTTGAATTCGCGATCGAGAGTGGGAAAGACCGGCGACTGACTTCGGAGGGCGAGAGAGGTCGTGCGATTGGCTAGAGAGAGCGGCAAACTTCACTCGGCGGCGCGAAGAAGCGACGCTTCTCCCATCAACTGGGCGACTTTGACGTCTCGGCAACGCGAAACGGGATCGCCGCCCGCATTTCCTGGCGTGCGTGCCTGACGCTTCTATCGACGCCTCGACTGTTCGTTGCTCTCTTCCTTCGTATCTTCCTCGCCTCCTATATCGCTCGCGCGACGAACATCAACGTCATCGGCGGAACGTCGGGACGAACTGTTGCGCACCAAACCGACCGACGCGGCACGATCGCTCCGACTCGGCTAAGCTCGGCAATGAGACTGGCTCGCACGAGGTCTCCTCGTCGCGAGCGCGCGCGCACCGACCATCTCCCCCCACCACTCGTCTCCGGCCGTCTGGTTCCCCCTCCCTCGGCCGCCTCTGCGCCTCACCGCCTCGGTGGCTCGTCTCGTCCCGTCCTTTTCGTGCCGACGAAACAACGACCGTAGCATGCTAAACACACAAGAGGGAAAGAGACGATCAAACATGGCTGCGCCAGTGACGGCGCCACGATCGCCAAGTAGCGAAGACTCCGATCCATCCTGTCTCTCGGCGCGGCGCCTCGCAGGGATCGAGATACGTGTGTGCGTAGACACGCACACATGCACGTAGGCCGTGTGTTCGGCGAGGCTCGTCGCACGAATTCGAATCGAAATTTTTACAGCCTCTCATGCAAATGCGTGAATCATCGCGACGTCGTGATTAAATGGCCAAATTTCATTAAGATGAGATGGAGCTTAGATATGCTAAGTAAATAATTTTACATCTCTGTTTATTTACCTAATCTTGCATAATTGAGATGTTGCTATGTTCTTCACAGCCGATATTTTATGTCACGTTTCCGCGGTCAAAAATGTTGGTCGTTGGAAAGAGTACTTTGTATTACCTTTCAGACCTTTATCTAGCAGCGAATTTTTAGTTTGGACAATCGAGGGATGGAAAGACAAAGACGAAGATGTCAAATTATCTGTTCTTACAATTGAAACAGACCGACACCAGCCAAACTCTAGCCTCCTCAACATTCCAAGATAAATTTTAGTCGCGTTATCGCTCGTAAAAAGGAATTATCCATTCGCCGACAAACGACAAAGAAACGCCGGCGAGGCACATGTACATTACTATATCGGATGATAAGAAAAAAATGGCAAGGAGTCGACATGACGTGACGCTCGAATTTTTGAAAGACACATCATTGACCTTTTTTCGGATTTTATGAAAGGCATATTTAAGGCACGTGAAAAAATAATTATAGAAATGCAAACATGCGCACGCTTTAAACGACTCAATGTGTTTCCATTTTTGGAGATATAAGCTAGTTATTAATTCTCTTAAAATATAATTGCATACTTACAAAAATTTTAAAGATCGCGTTGCCGATTCCGCTTGTAAAAGAAATGTCTAATCTGCAACAAAAATGTACATTATTTTTATTTTTGTCAAGATAAACACTATTGTTTTTAAAAATAATTTTTTTGTCGAAAGGGAAAGTTATATGCAAGACTTGATTATTATAGAAAAATCTTTCTGTCCCGAATCGACATGTCTGGTACGATTCTTGGCTCGCGAGGGACATTGTATATCGGTGTATACACATTGCAGATTGGTCTAATAATGCGTGAATCGTGCAATTTATCTCCGGAGGCGAAACACGGCACGGCGGTTTAATTTGGATCGTCGCGTCGACCGGCCAGGTATACAAAACGAGGTCGAATAGTTGACCGAAATACTAAAAAAGGGTTGCGAATGGCATACCATTGGAAGGATCTCGCGCGTCGTCTCTCGTAAATTTTCTAATTTTAGAAACTCGTTTCGCGCGTTTCCCGTGGATGTAATTTTGTAATAGGCGGCTGCACAGCCTCGCCCGGCGGAGCCTACTTTATAAAGTTACGAGAGAGCCTATAATTTCATTTTTTTTATAATCGAAACCCGAGCGCTGTCGTCTCGTAGCATAACACGTCGGGATCTCTCGTCGATCATTATATCCTTTTTTATATATCTTTAATATGATCGTCGTGTTCGTTATCTCCTCGCATCAGCTAGCGACATTTGAAGAAGCGAGATCCTGCAGAAAAATTGTGTTAAAATTAAATTTCTCGGACGAATAACGCGCTTTCTCCCATCAAACATGTATGCGGTCGATGGAGGATCATAATCTGCAGTCGCGGTTTATGCAACGACAATTAAATCGATAAAGTAGCTTACGGTACGGTTCCGGCTTGGTTCTCTCGTTCCACAATCGACTGTTTAATATTTATTGTTAGATGTTAGATATTATGCCGTGCGTAATTCGCACCCCGTGAGAGCTTACGCATCATTCTTAATTAAAGATTGCGATTACATTTTTAAGTTTCCATAAAATCGCTGCGTGAAGGTGAGATGGAAAGCTAGATAGGATAAAATAATGCATTGACAAATATATATTTAGATCGAGTTAACAAAATAAAAATATATCTCCCTTCTTCTCTCTCTTCATCCTTAATTTATTTAATTCGGCGAAACTATATATAGTCTTTATAGTTTTTATTTTAATATTGTAATTGTTACCTCAAGAATATATAATTATTTAATTCTACTTTAAGAAAATTATAATCTTTGATTTAAAAATGTTATTTTCTATCTAATCTATTGTTTCTTTTCTATTCAAGAAAATTAAATCTTAAATCATAAGAATATATTTTTCTTTAATTAACGCAATATAATCTCATTTCAAGATTTCCATGTTAAAACTAAATATATTTTCAAAACAAGAATGTCTTTTTTCTGTGCAAGCTGTGACGCAAATGTGTCCCTAACCCTTTTTCGCGACGAGTCGCGACGTAGGTCTAGACGCGTTATTTCACTCGTCGGAACATGTTCCAAAATGATATAGAATTTAGAAAGTTGTTTAGTTATGTACGTCTGGTGTCCTGCGCTGGCTAGTAATCAGGCGCCTGGCCTCCGCGCTGTCCTTCTCTCTCTTTTTGTTTCCTCTCTTCTCATCCTTACCTCTTGCTCCGCTCTTGGTCTACCGTGGATCATCGCTCTTGTTTCTCGCTCTTCCTTTCGTACAACCGGTAAAGCTCTCTCGGCAAATTCTTCAGGGCCGTTCGCGGTTCTCGGTGCCTCGATGTCTCGGCCCAATTAAATGTCGATCAAGGCGACCCTAGCTCAAGGTATATCGATGTACGAAACAAAAAGAATTTGTTCAGTCTGAAAGACAGCTAAAAAATAACAGAGAGAGAGAGAGAGAGAGAGAGAGAGAGAGAGAGAGAGAGAGAGAGAGAGAGAGAGAAAGAGGGATAGGATGGGGTGAAGAGCGCTCGTTTGTCCGTAAATTCGCAACGAGACGCACGAATTATTCTCGATTCGAGAATACAAAACGTCTTTTAGCAATCGTGTTTACTCTGACTAGATTTTGCGGGAATAAATAAGAAAAGCAATAAAATCCTCTTCAAATGCCATAACTTTGAATAATTATTAATTACCGCGCTCTCGCATACTTTTACGATATAAAATTAAATTTTTAATTAATTACAATATATTGACATTTATATAAATGAAAGATGAAATACGCAGCTTTTGAAGAATTTGTAATATTTAATATTTTTTTCACGTTTTTTATTGCCATAGATAATAATTATTATCTAATCATGCGTGTACTGTCAACTGTCACAAGATTTAAGCAGCGACAAACGTGCGATGCAAAACAGCCTATAAGATAGCGCAACCGTACTTTTTTTTTCGTTTTATTTTCAAACGAGAAAATTACTCGCATGCTCGACGCTATTGCTATGGCGCCATTCTTGACATATCGCACCAATGGCACCGACGGATGCATGACAGTAATGTTATGCGACGAAACGTAATGCTGATGCAATATATTGCGTCTATAAAGAGAACTATTCCTGTATTTAAAACAAAAGCAAGAGGCTTAATTTTTAGCATCAAATTTTTAAATATAATTATGTACATTATTATTACGATATTTTTTGAATAGTAAATAATTATAAACACGTGTTATTGAATAATATAATACATACATCTATATTTATAATATTATTTTTGCATTTTTATTTCTTTTACTTTTATAAGAAAATATTTTTAATAATTTTAAATAAATTTCAATAAATTACAATAATAAATATAATAAATTTAAATTAATTTAAATACTTTTATTTGAAAATTAATTATCGGAATGATTTCTTTATGTCGATGGATTATTATTAATAATCGTGGGCATCGACAATAGTCGCATTCGAGATGTTCTAAAAATAATTATCACTATAATAGATACACTGGCGCTCGCTAAAATAATACGCAATGGAAATGATGGGCTCGCGTAAATAGAATGAGACGTCTCTTCCGAAAGGTCGAAATGTTAGCTTTCGCTTCAACGAACATTCTCACTCACGACGCTTGTGTGTATGTGAGTTCTTCGTTACACGACGTGTCTTCGTCGAAGAGGATTATTAATGAACGCCCGGTAAACTTCCGCCAATTACTGCTGGTAAACGACGTGCTTCTCCAACACGCGCGCGCGCGCGCGCTCATTATCCGCGCGAGTGCGAATAGAGGTCTACTTGAAATTCTGGGTATCGCGTCGATTGATCGCGACGTGCATTAATTGCGTTGTTCCAACTTTGAGAGATAATGATGAGATGCGAAACGGGATGAACGTTTGCGACAAGCAGCTGGCGAAATTCGACGCGTCGAGCGACTGTAATGGATAACTGATCTTAGCGGCTTCTGCGACTAAATAGAACGAGGAGAAAAACGCGTGAAATGAATTTCTCAGATTTTCCGAGAATACTCGGCGCCGCGTGCGAGACAGAAGAGCATGATTGACGACGCGCCGACTTTGTCACAAACCAGGGAGCGGCCTCTCTCGCGTGGAAAATATTTTCAGTCGCAGCATTTTTGCGCTCGAGGCGACCAACGATAAGAGAATACAGGAAAGGTGAACAATAGGGACATCAAATACTATTTTTAAAATTCCTCCATGCATATCGTAAGATTTATACAATTGTAAGCGTTATCCATACTCTTTCTGTAGATTGTTAATCGAAAAAAAATAATGTTATTTGTCAATATACCATCTTTTTTTTTCGATTAGAGAGGCCGTGTGTTTTTCGTTAATTTTCGACTCGGAACCGACAGACTTGGCCGCCGGCACTCACCGATAATCAAGTATCTTTACTCTGTAGATAGACGTCGGCGCCGATGTCAACGCTCCAAATTCCGAGGGAGAGCGATCGTCGTCGTTCCTCGAAGCGGCAGCGGCAGCGAGCGGTCCAGCTCACGATTCCGCTATAATTCATCTTCCACGAAGCGCGAAGACGTTTCGGGCTATTATTAGGGCCGGGGGGGGGAGGGG